CTACAACTTCCGAGTTCTATGCTTCTGTAGTTCCTTTTTCTCTCCTCTCGTCCTTCTACCGTTGACGCGCTTTCCACCGCTCGTCCTGTTTCTCGAGAGCGCGTCCCGCAAGATTTATAATTGCATTTGTCGGATTTTATGCTGTGTACACTGGACACGTGTAGTTATCCGGGTTGACTTCGCGTGAGAAGGCACGTCGGTCTTGCGATTACAACGGAGAGTGCTAAATTCGTTTTGCAGCGCATCATTGAGATGCGGTTTTTCTTTACATTGCAACCAAAATTATTTATATTTTATTTTATTATTATTTCTGTAAGGTTTAACATTCTTTAATGTAAACGAAAGTATATAAGCTATATTTATCGATTTGATGACAAAAGAGAAAAATAAATATCAAAATTTAGCTAATACGATAATTTTTATACGATGATGGTAACTCACTAAACTTTTTTTCTATTCAAAAGTAATACATTTCTTCATAAATTTTTTAAATGCAAAATATAAAATATGAAATATAGATTATTGAAAGAATCATATTGATTGAATAAAAATAAAGAAGGAGATTTATTCATACTTGAAAGAAATGAAATTACAAAATATTTACTTATATTACAGTCATTGATTTATATTGCTAGACTTTAAATCAATCTTTTAATAATCGAAGCTGAGAAAATATAATTTTAATAAGGTGTGATAAAGTAATTCAAGAGTTAACTGTTAGAATAATAGTTCGAATATGCTGCTAGTGTTCTATCTTCGGTGCGGATATATTACACGTTGTTTGCATTATGCACAACGCCGCTCAGAAAGTAAACGTAAATGCGGGGAATCCATGCATATCGCAACTTTATGCCTGCGAAGTGGATGCTAAGAATATCTCGCGTGTTGCAGCGAGCACGAATGGCCAAGAGGGCACTACAATGTTCACTTTGGTTCCTCGGCTGAAAATAGCATAACTTTAACATTATTATACACAGATATCAATGGAAATGGATCCGTGAATCGTGGGAATCGACTTGTTTCTATCTTTGAATCTACGTAATTTATTAGTTTGTTTTGGCACACGCGTATACACATTTATTAGATCGCAATGCGGAATTTTACATTCAAAAAAGAGAGAGAGATTTACAAATTTAACTACCAAAAACTAATGTTTTTATATATACATATATAATTTTAACATACAAATTATAGTTTCCTTTACGTGACTCTGAAAATAATTTTAACATTATTTACAATATTTAAATAAACTCATTTAATTAAATAATTTCAACAGCCCATGTGCGTGTATTAATAAAAATGACGAAACGATAATAAATATTCTTACATCTCGGGATGCCAGTATTAGTAATAAATAGTATTTTTGACTCGTGAGTCATCATAATGCAAATTACAAGTCGGCTGACGCGATCCGGCTATCACTACTAGAATCGCGATTACGGCGTCAGCTGTTCGTCGCGTCTTCACGTGTTGTGCGCACACTAGTGTCAGCACCGGTTATTAGTGTTAGAATCAACGTACAGCTGGAGGCTTCTCTAGCACCACGAGAGCAAAACAGACCGGAAAAAGCGGAACGGGACGGTCCGGGTCGAGGCTCCGATCTCGTCGTGCTCTTCTCGTTGTCCCTCATGTCCCGTCTTCATATCGCACACGTTTCTGTCTTTCGCGCGTACACGTGGAGGCGAGCATCCGCGGCTCGTTCTCGCTCGGCAAAACTTAACAAAACAATTTGCTCTAAAGCAAACAACGGCATCCGGTTTACTTGTGAATAAACAACATATTTATTTTTAGAGGCCCCGCGGTCGTAACTCGTTCAGTTCGGACGACCGCATCCGAAAGAGCGTGAACATGTCTATTTGTCGGCGTTACATATGAGTTAACGACTGAACGAATAAAAATTGTCGGTGACATAAGCACTTCGTTATCTAGTTTTGCCCGTTAAATAAAAAGAGTTACGCGAAATTTTATAATTATCGATTTTAATCTAAATCGATTATCTAACGAGCTAAAGTACATAATCTGATATATCGTTTCATTATAATTTATTGTTCTTTAAAGGACTTTTATGTGTGTAATTAGGAGTAGAACATATCAACGGATTTTTTGTTGTAATAATATGTTATAATAGAGAATTAAAGAAATTTAATAAAGTAGGTGATACTGCAGAGATTGTTATAATAATATAATATCGAAAAATACTGCCGTCGAATTGAAGTTATTGAGATAAAATTAGCAATTTAAAGAAGTCAAATTAAAAGTTGACGTGAATTTAACGGTAATCATATACATATTAACGAATGCGGGTTTAAACATTCAGACGACGTGACAATAAATGGTTTCCATTGATGGCACATTGACTAACGTGATAAATTAGTCTTATTACCTGGATTTGGCATAAATTTACTGATATTGGCTTGGTTGTTGTATATTAATTACTAAATTACAGTTTGAAATGTCTCCATGATTTCATCATTTATGTCAATTTATACGATGAATCTGTGCATCACATCCGTATATCGTTTTGTGGAAAAATCCATTTATACTTACAGTCGTTCGGTAATTCCGTAAATAATCAAATCGAATAAATTCGAATCTCTCAATTACTAGAAACCGTGTCGATCTCGAGGGATGACCGACCGGATTGCATATTCATCATTTCGAGTGCGCCATTTCGGACGAGACATTTCGTCGTTCGACCTGCAATGATCCTGCTGGAGACGCGCTATACGTGCGCGCGAAAAATTAGCATGTAGAAAAGGCAGTAGTGAAAATAATAATCGACGAGATTATTCGACCTCCTCGTGAGACACTCGGAACGAAATGAAATGTTTTATCGTCGTGCCGTGTGTCTGAGGGTGTTCGCGGGAAAGGGTGGAAACGGCCAGGTCGTTCATCCTTTCGTTCTTTCTCTCATTCTCGCAGGGAAGGGAGTGGGAGGGAGGTGATAGGGGGGAATGATCGTAATCATATTTTCAGGGGAACGGATTTATGCAACGTACTGCGTCGTCTCTGTACATAAAACGCATTTAAAATTCTCGAAGCACGACCGGGAGGTGCCCACGATCGTTTCCCGTCTCTCTGTCGATAGCGTCGCTGGTAGGCGCCGCGGGGTTGTAATTGGCAATATCTATCGAATTTTACAATAAATCTCACCATGCCTCGAAGGAGAGGAGGGTGGGCCGTCGTGGCAATAAAACACCGGGTAGGTATCGCGAGGGGCTGCCGCGCCGTGCACTTAACGACTTATCTTATCTTCGAATTAGGTCGCGGTTAGAGCTCCGCTTAATACACACGCGGCTGCGATCGTAACCACGTGATTTATACGCCGAGTGTTATTAGCTCGTGGCGTGAAAAAAATTTTCTGTCATATTCCGGATTAAATCATTTTTCCATCGTAATACAATTATTACTTTTCGTATTATTCGCATCCCTGAAAAACATGCGCGCGATTATCGAGTACGTTCACTTACATTTTATGTATTTTATATACCTATGCCGTAGATATTCGTCTCTTTATATTGTTGTTGTACATGACAGTTTTTTCGTATTATTTAATGTCGGTGTGACATTTAAGAAAAAGTAATGCGCGTTATCAGACATGTACATAAATCAATTTTGGAACTATATGCATGTATGGTTGACTAATCTTCAGAGGATAGACATAAATATATTTATTTTAATTTGCGCTTATAAATATTTTAATTTGGGCAATTAACTAATTCGCTTGAATAATTATTTGTTCACGCGAAATGATATCTCTGCATCAATTTTCTAAAAATATATATAATAAATACATTAATTTCTTGCTCTTATACGTTATTGATTTTCCAAAACATGTATTATTCAATTATTTAAAAATTTTTACCTTTCATAAATAAAGAATGCATTATTGGAGCGATGCAAGTGTTGTTCTGCAAAGAAAATGAATCTATATTTTCTGTATTGGCATCGTCCAATTTTACGCGTTAATGATTATACATAAATATAAAAGACATTAACTGCAACTGATCTGGAGACGGTAACAGAGAAGTTAATTAAAATCGCCGTCAATTTTCTGCCTTGCGGCACGTCGTCGTTCGCGCACGTGACGCGATTTGACAATGAACGTGTATCGGGAGAGAAAGACGTCGGATCTTCGGTTTGTCGCGCAGCGGTAAAAGATCCGTTTGTTTATTTCCACGTGACACATAATACTTAATATACAACATTCTCTATGATTCCGTGCACGGACGACGACGACGACGACGACGACGACGACGACGACGACGACAACCAGGCATATGACGACAAGCGCGAGAAAACGGTACGGTGGTGTACATTCGCGTGTTTTGTTTGCGCGTTGTCTTTTGTTTTTGTCGCGTGTATGTCCAGCTGCACACGTTGAGAACTCGGCACCGGCTCATGCAAATGCAACGCGCGTATAATGTGCTTCAATAGCCACGCCGCGTATTTATATATGCTTCACCCGGTTCGGCATTTTCTACCGCGACTGTTTATTTCTGCCTCATATACGGAGAATACACGAGGCTCTTTCTTTCTTTTTAGAGAGAAAGAGAACGGGAAGGGAAAAAAAGGAGGACTGAAGGAATACAAGAGGAGTGAAAGACAGCCGCCTGGCGAGCAAGTTTTCATCGACCGCGCGCGACGATCGTTACACATTACCTTGCCACCCTACGCGCGTCACGCGTAGAAATAAACGGAGTTACATTTTGTAATTACACCCCTCGGATCGATGCCGACTTCGCGTAGTACGTAATCGATCCCTGCGACTCGCTTGAAAATTTACGATTTCCAGAGTCCCCGTAACTTTGCGCATTATTTAACGCGCTTGAAGATTCGTCCCTACGTTTATAAAGATTTTGTGGAGAAACTATTTTTTCCTGGGGGTTTTTTTTTTTTACGATAAACTCGACATTCGAGAATGATATTATCTTTCTCTCGTAAGTATTATTATACGGAATATTGATTTGAAAATTGAAATATTTGAAAATGCACAAAAAGATGATTGTATTTTCCTTTATTCGTATTCGTATTTCAATTTATTGCGGCGACATTAAGCGTATTTCTGAGATTTGCGTAACACTTGAACAAACATTTAGCTAATTATATCATGCATGCCAAAATAATTTAGGATCTCGGTCATATTCCACCCTCGGTTGATTCCTGTAAATCATTATGGTTGCATCATTATGATTCTGGCAAACTTTTGGACTTTAGATATAATTGATTCTCATAGTTCAAATGGTGAACTATTACGTCAAATAATTGATTAGAGCGATAGTTTTCAAGTGTAGAAGATGGCACGTTGCTCTGAACGAGTTTTTATTATTGACAAATGTATAAACGATACATCTAAAATTAATTATACAAGTAACCGTAATTACATTTACTCGAGTTTATCTCGATAATATTAATAATTTGTTCATCGGCTAAAAAAAATTGAGAACAACTGCACCAAAAAAAGCGTGCCTCATATATGTTTTAATAAATCTAGCAACATATGATGTCTCGTTTTTTTACGGCGAAAAACGCGATTTAAAATAACGGCAATGTAAATAAAACTTTACATCATAAAATACGGAACATAAAATATCGCCAGTTTCAATAGCACATAAAATACTCCATTGTGTGACGTTTAGTAAAATATCATATTTAAATTACATTCGCTCGTGTATTCTTTCCGTTATTATGGATCTTTGAGGTCTTTTTTAAATCGACGGTGTGCGTTCTTTATTTCGCGTGCGCGAAATGCCGGTGTCACCTCATGAGGGAAATGAATATTAATATAAAGACGGTCGAGATTTCCGCGGCGAGGCAACGAATATAATATAATAGCCGTTTCGCGCAAAAGATGCGTCCGCGACCGAGAGGGCGAAGCACCCGAAGACGAAGTGTTCTCATTATACCCGGTGATTTATGTGCGTGCCACCTTGCCGTCGCGGAAGAGATTCTAGGTTAAAAATAAAGTTAAAAGAAAAATAAGGCTTACGGGGTGCAAAGTCGAGAAAGAGTGGAGGGGGAGACGCCGCGGAATATATTACAAAAATAAGCTCGCCGGCGAGAACGCGGCATGCGGAAAAGCGTCGAAAAAACTTTGAAACTTCGGGGAGCCTCGAAGATCGATGCCCCTCGACCTGGCCTGCCGTGTAATTTTTCTTGTTTATCGAGATGTGAGAATAAAAATACGCGGTCACTCGCAATCGTACAAGTAAATTTCTCCACTTCTCTCATCGAAACTCTCATATTAACGATCTTTACAATTTTATTGTTGACGAAATATATTTTCAAGAAACTTTTTTTAGCAAAATATATATTTTTATATACACATTAAAAATGTGTCGTTGTAATCTTGCTAATTGTAATATTGATTTTGTTTCAGGGACACATTGGTGAAAATCCGTTTGACAACGGTTCGTGGGGAAAGGAGCATTTTCAGCCATCGACAGTTCCCTGGCAGCTGAATCCACGCGGCCACGGTCGTCCTAGTGTAAGTGTTTTTGCTTATTACGTAGATTATATTAAATCTTATGACAGTTGTAGAAAATAATCTTCAACGGACAGGTAAAAATGAATTTTAAAATGCAGATATATTTTCTCGAAGACAGAGAAATTATACGCAAAGAGATTTACGAACTTTTCATAAATATAATAATTTCGTAGAGAATAATCTCAGATTGATTTCTCTCAATCAAACGGTCACACATTTCAATCGTAATACGATTTCGAGATTATTGGCTATATAATTCTCGCGAGGGTAGGTGCGTGAAATTTATAATTCCGGCGGGTAAGAATACTCTCGCGTGGGATGGGGGTAGGAACGAGAAAAGAAATCCGGCGGCTCATTGTGTCGGCAGGTAGCAAAAATGCTGGCGGGGTCCCTGTTTTCTCGAGCGTTTTCTCCCAAGAGTCGTCGGCTACTATATATCGTGAATTCTCCTCTCTCTCCTCGAAAGCCTCCACCCTTCGACCATCGTGGCCGACTACCCTCTTGCGCTTACGCTCACTCTCCCGCACCACTCGTCCTGTCACCCGGTATTTATAATACGCTTTGTTTTCCCTCGACTATTTGTCTTGGGTTCTCGACTCCTTCGCTAACGTTATTATCTCGCGTTTTATTTTTATTTAATTCCACCGTGTCGAGTTCCGCATTCCCTCCGCGATTCGCTCTCGTTACTTATCCGTAGAAGGAGAGTCCTTAATGAGACCGAATGTCAAACGCTTAGATCATTTTTTATATTTTCTTATGAATCATCCGACGCTCCAATTTGCTCGACGGATCGTTCTCTCGTCTTGCGAAATTCTAAATTCGCGTGCTGACATTTGATTATTATTATTATGTTATTGGAAATTATTTACGAGTACGTGACAATGTGTGATGATGATGTTTCTTGCGTGTAAAAAGTTTCATATTCACGTATCATTATGCGCATGACTCACATGCTGCACGACTCGTATAATCTCTGTTCGAATTCGAACTGCGTGACGATGTGCCAACGACTCGCGTTATAATTTGTGCAAGTCGCAAACAATTTCAATGTTCACTGGTTTTTTTTCCCTCCGTCAATCGCATGTCAATCTCTAATCTTTACGATATGTGGATTGCACGGCATTTTTATACGTGTTCGATACCAATGATATTTCACAATGCAGGCGCGTGATCGTGCTGTTGTTACATAAGAAAAAAAACTCATACATTTTTATAATATTTATTTAACGAGAAGGATTAATGCATTAAGTTGGCTTACTGAACTTGCATTTGGAAAATCATATACCTTCAAATTATATTGCTTTGCTCTTTTCGATCATAGATTTTTCGACCGATCAAAATTCTAATGTATCATACATAAAATATAAATATATATATATATATATATAAACTTGATACATAATAGATGTATGCAAAATTCTGATGCGCTTCAGCTATAATTTTCAATAAACAGTAGTTCTATTTTTGTAACGAGTGACATAGTTTGTTTAAGTAAAGAAAATTAAACATGTATAGATCGTCGGGCGCACGTGCACAATCGGCATTCGTCTTCCTGATACCATCATATCGAGCGCGATCGTTTACAAAAGTAACAAAAGCAATCGAAACCACTGACGTCAGCGTTTCCGCGAGCGTACGCGACCGATGATCTCATGCGTGCATACGTGTATGCTTATCCAACGTGGCGCAGCTCCTTTTACGCATGCCGTTATGTGTGTGTGTGGTCGTATGCACAAATTGCACTATCGTATATGTCTACGCGACAACGACGGTGCGGCAAGTTCGCTTGTTGCAATCACGTATCCATTTGTCAGCATCTCAGGAAGTAATGCGTAGCGAAACATGTATCACTTCTGTGCCGGTTTTCTCGCGCCGATCTTATCCCGTTTAAAATCAAACTCTTGCGCGCGACTTTCAACGCCGCGAGGCATGAATCGTTCCGCTTTCGACTCGAGAGTACATAATAATTTTGACGAATTAACACGAATGCCGGAATGTTGTTTTTGTAAAATCTAAAAATTCGATAAAAAAAATGATATACGTATAATAGCAAACGATTGAAATGACTAAATTATATAGATATAGAAAAACAGTGAATTTTCTTTAATAATTCGGTGATATCGCGTTATATAGCGTATTTCGCGTTTCGCGAATTTACATAATCGGCGAGAAATGTTTGCTCGCGAAATTTTAAGTTTACGGTACCGAGTGAGTATTTCGAGCGTTCCAATTTAGTCGAAATTTAAGTTGGAAGAGCGCCCTCATAATCTCAGCCACGCCTGTGTAGTAATATGAATCGCGGCAAAAATCAGAACGGGTGGTGGCTCTTAGACCGTCCCCACCGCAGCCCCTGGGTTTTAAGATATGCAGAGCACAACGCACGCTTTCCTAGCGAGACTATTTTAATACGAATGAGGGTGGGAGGATCAGAGCGAGAGAGCGCGCGATGGTATGGCGGCAGAAGATCTACTTCTTGATTACAGAACTTTTTACCTAATTACATAACATTGTTACCATTTACAAAGTCGCGTCGAGCCTGCGTCGGCTGACTACTAATTAGAATCCCCGATTAGCACCCGCGGCGACATCGTATTCCATTTCGATAAGTCTCGCGACATTTCACCAGCTCTCATAATGAAAGGGTTGCGAAAGACTATGTAATAGTGGGATTTTTAATGTTGCTCATAAAATAGACGTTGGAGACCTTTTTATAGAATTTTAAAGAAATGTTAAGCAAGAGTTGTACATACGATTGATTAAAAAATAATATTATATATGTATTTATAATTTTTATTGATAAAACATATTATATATGCTATTTTTCACCAGCTCTCATAATGAAAGAGTTGCGAAAGACTATGTAATTTTTAATGTTGCTCATAAAATGGAAATGTTGCAAGAGTTGTACATATACGATTGATTTAAAAAAATATTATATATTTATAATTTTTATTGATAAAACAGATTATATATGCTATTTTTCAATTGGATATCTTGTGTGAGACATTTTCTTTTACGTATTGCAACAGACACGTTTATTTTTACAAGACGCAGTCGAGGTCACAAATCGCATATATACGAGACATGTCACTTACGAGCTGTCTTGCGGGACGATAAAAATTTGAATCCTATCTTTCGCAAATAATTAGATATACCGATTTGTGCCAGACACTGGTACGCCGGAATTCGGGGCGAATATCAAAGGTTCAGAAAGAGTCGAATTTATCTTCGGGACTTAAGGTTCTTATCGGAAAGATGTAAGGGTCGCAGAGATAGTCATGCGCGAGGGACGAGTTTCCGACGATGCAGACATTAAGACGTCTGGTCCTCGACCTCCGGTTTTCCACCTCTCTCTCTCTCTCTCTCTCCACCGCCAACCCCCGACAAACGCGTTTCCACTCTTCTCCCTCCCTCCATCTTTAGACGATGAGGGAGGTTTACCCCGTCTTCATTGTCCTCTAATTCTCATCTGATCCTCACATTACGTAATTTTCTCTTTATTATTTTATAATTCTCTCTCAAGCCCCGGGCCCGCGCGCACATCCGACTTTAGGTCCGCACGAACTCATTCTCCGCAACGCATACTAATGCACCTTGCATTTATTAATTATTCCGCGGTAGTTACTCCGGCTTCTCGTCTCGCCGTCGCAATGATAGATTAAACCGCCTAGATTCGAAAGCTCGCGATGCGAATCCTGCTCGTCACTGGTAATACGTGCTCGGAAATTTTTTCTTTCACTAATCGATAGAAACCGGAGTATTTCACCCTTCTGCTTTGCGCGACAAAAAGCTCACGAATAGTAACAATATAGATTACGCGTTCGACATCTAATTGTTAATTGAATTCATTAAATATATATTATTTATATTTTTTTTCTATCAACATTTTTAATTTCGAAACTTTTTCGTCGCATATAAAATTAATATTAACGAATATATTTCATTCTGAAAATTCTTTTAATCGCGCTTTCGAAACGAAGGAAACTTGCTTCTTCAAATTATTTGAAATTGCCGTCTAAATATATTGCTTGCAGCCTCCGCGTCTTAAAACTTTACTAGAAATTATCTCTCTTTCTCTCTCTCTCTCTCTCTGGAGTTTACTTTTAAAGAGAGCGTCTATAAAGGGTTGATTATTAGATATTGTAGGATGAAAATTATTCACGGCGTTTAAATTTACATGCCGTCTGAATAGAAATCAAGCGGCGATCGAGCGTCTCTTTTAACGAGCTCCTAAAATCCAGTTCGCCGTCTCGCCGTACGCGAATATTTGAAGATACAAGCAACTATTCCACGGGGAACACTCCCCCAAGATCTTTAACTCCGCGGTCCTGAAGGACTCGGCGTGCCACTTGGTATGCAAGGAGAACAGCCATTCATCTCCCGATCTCCAGCGTTAGTCTCGACCTCCGGATATAAATTAGCTTTTGTTTAGCATTCAATGCGAGACGCCTTTTCTGCCGCGTCGGACCGACCTATCGCCGCACAACCCCCATGATTAGGCATCCTGACCAGCCCGTCCTGCTGCTGGCAATCCGCTGCAATTAATGTAGCCACCTGCCTCTCTCCGTTGGACCAATTAAACGCTTGCGATTGCCGTGAAAGAAATTGCTCCGATGTTAAAGGAGAATTTAAATCTCGAAGGGCGATCGGGAGCGACGCGAAAAGTTCGCTCGAGCTACTTTCTGCGATAGAATAGATAAGGGGGATTAAAAATGATGGCGTTAGACTCTAGATTAAGTTAGTTTCTATAGTCTTGATTGAGATAATTATACAAGAAGCTACACAGCGAAGATAAATAAAAAATTCGGAAACTTTGGAAGAACAGATAAGAAAAGTAATTTTATCAGTCAACAAATAATCTTTAATAAATATGTGTGTATGCTTCGATTGTACTTGTTTAACGTTAAACATTGAAGTATACTTACGAATTATGTAACAAAAGTAAAATTATCAAATTATCCGATATTTCCCGAAAGCCGGTGTTCGGAATATTCCCTTTAGGGCTGCTCCTTAATATTCCATGGTACACTCCAGCAAAGAGGGTCGCCCAATAATCATACATCCCCTTCAAGGAGTCGGTATCTTGCCACCTTTTCATAATGGGCATAATTATTAATATTAAAAGCAATGTTCTTTCAACTTGCAAAAGCTTTGTGGTATAATTTTAAAATTATTATTAAATGTTTGTATTAATTTATTTGCTCTGTGGCTAGCTATGTTAAATTTAATGTAAAACATATTATAACGATAGTACAAATTACAAAAAATATTCGTTATTTTACAAATTTTTATTAAATCCCGAGAATAATCGCGCACATTTGTCTATGTTGCGAATTTTGGATAAGAGGACTATCGTCGTGACGTGAAAGTATCCTGAAAACTCGCGCTACTTCCAAGTCTTAATTTGATCAAGAAAGAGACTTTCTTCGTGCTTCCTCGAGTATACTCACAGGAGAGAAAGCCTGTTGATTCCGAGGACGGTAACCATCCGACGGATGGGAAACATCGTCTAGCCGGCGTTGAACTTTCTCGATATACAAGGCAACATAGCAACACAACACGGTAAAGCACAACAAGTGGGGGGGATGCTGGGGGTGGAAAGCCCGATAGATATACAGCCACCCGTAGCAGAGAGGCGCGCGTCGCCTGCGCCACGTGCTTTTCACCCCTCCTCGGTGTTTCTCCACCTCTCCCCTTTCTCCGTCTGTCTTCCTCTCTTTCGCTCGCTCTAAACAACCCCTCTACCTACTGATCGGCCGACCGTATACACCCCTGTCATTCCCCGCCCGTGGGAAACGCAGCCTCTCTCGCGATACACCACGTGGTCGCTGCAACAGTTTCCATGCCGCATGTTGCACGTGCAATGAGATGCTGCGAAAATAAAATCTCGTCATCAAATCGTTACGTTTATTGTATATGTGCGATTAATTCATTTTTACATATGTTTAAGCGCATCTTCAAAATATTTTTATTCTCAATCTCCCGTAGTTTCATTAGTATATTACTGTTCGTTATAGGCTGATTCCAAAAAAAAATAATTAGATACGACACATTTTCCTACATGAATTGCACTAACCTATGAGTAATATTTCAATCAATAATGCAGAAATACATGTTGAATCAAAGTAGTCAAGAATCGCTCTAAGAATAGATTAATTATAAATCTTTTAAATATCGTGATTTTTTTACACAATGATATAAAATGTGTTTTAAATATATATATATATATATATGTAAAATTGGAGTAATGTCTCAATGAACTATCGATTATTATATTTCAGTTATCATTTACCTACATTACATTAATAGTTCTCTATCACATATTATAATCTTATACGAATAATTTATAAATAACATACTAATTTTTTAGATATACTTTTGAAAAATATATTTTCGGCACATCCTCTCCGTCATCTCGTAACAAATATATCAGCGTATTATCGACCCGGGGTCGGAAAAACACGCGCATCGGAAGTACGTGAATAATGCGTCCCAGAAGAGCTTTCAGACGCAGCGAAACGTTATATAGTCCTTGTAGGGGTTTGGTTTTGCGGAAGCGCGCGCCCAACCTCCCTCCGGGCTAACCCAAGGCAGGCAAGCGGTCGGTCGGAGCCAAGTTAGGTCTAACAACGTAACCGAGACGTGCAACCTTGTAAATAGATGTCTGGAGCGTGCCAGAGCTCTCGCTGCCTAGTTCGCTACACACGCGAGCAAGAAGGGGTACAACGTCGCGGAAGTTCGCGCAGGGTAAGGCGAGCAAGCCCATACCCGTTGTTGTACCACGTCGTATATACATTCTGCTTCTTACGTGCCGCATACGCATGCACGCCAGTAATTAGTGTCTTAATGAACCCGCGCCGCGGGTAAGGAGCTGCGCAAATAATTGCCAGCATGAGCTCTCGCCGCTCTCGAACACGCTCCGCTCGGCGCCGCTCGGTCTTGGAGATATACGAGGGGCAGGGGAAGGGAGTTTTCCTTTCCTTTAAGTACGATTGCGTGCGCGCGAAATCGCGCCGAGCATTAATTTAATATGGCTTCGGTCGCGCGCGCGCGTGCGAATGCGCCGCTGCGCGATTCGTCGCGAGTGTCGTTGTGGCATTATGACGTTTTAATGCGACAAAATTGCACGTTGGAAGTTCGACGCGTATGCGATTGTATGTGTGTAATAACACGACGCTTTTTTTGCCGCTGCTGCTGCTACGATTGCATGCAATGCGGATTCTGCAGCGAATTATAGATGCGATAGGTTTATTATTGTTTCGTAGGCGAGCTCACATCTTTCTCCGTAACTGAAGAATTTGCATATTTCGTAAGGAAAACGAATTATATTGCATTCAAACTTTTGCAATGCGCGGAACAATTTCTTCCATTAAATTTAGAATTGATTTTTTAAGTTTGATTAAGTACTAAATATCTGTACTATTGAAAAATTGTAAGGAAAGGTTGTTCTATTGTAATTTTTAAAGAATGCTATAATTCTTTGAATATTTAATCGAAACGCTGGATTATATATTAATCTACAATTCTTTATAGCTCTTGTTATTATTTTATTAAACAAAAAAGTTGAGTGACCAAAGTCTTAGATTTCTGATTTTTCTGATATGTGATGTAATAGGTTTTTTTCTCGGATTAGTATATAATTAATTAATTACGAGTTGTAATTGAAACTTTGTTTCATTAAATGACATTGATAACTGTAATAACGGCACTTTTAGATCGCGATTAAAAATTAATTCAGTTTTAATTGGTGGTGTAAATAGCTCCTTAATGTTTCTTTCCGTTGTTTGTGCGATCTTGATTTGATAGACAGAAGGCTTTCGCGCAGAAAAGTTGATATTTTTAACGATACTTGGACTTTTCCGGCGAGAAAGAAGTACAATGAGAAAATATTTACTGTTTTATCGTGCATTAAACGCGGCCTTACGTAGATCCGACCGCTAATGCAGCGCCCTTATTCGACTTGGAACGAGTTTTTGCTTTACGACGGGCGATTTGAATTTTATTTATCCACTACGATATTTGAATTACGATGCGCTATAAAACACGATCGTCTCACCGCGCGTGTGCGTTTCTTCGAGGACATCGATTATATCTATGTGTACGAATATTATTCGATTAATTTTAATGTCGTTTTTGTTACACTATTTTTTTTTAATTTGTATACTTTATGCAAATATCACGATTTTCTTAGGATTATTGTAGACAATTATATATTTATTACTCGTTACGTAAGAAAACTTTTGCATCTTATAGCGCGATTTGCAAGGAAATATGCAGTTTATAATATTTAGAATAATGTATCGTAATGTGGATAATGTCATAATAAATTATTTATAGAAACCGTGAGTGCATTAACTATCAATGTCACGTTTATCTTCATTATTATACAGATATACATAATGCACTATAAAAAATGAAGGTGTTAGCATGTGACACGTGACATTTTCACGCCGGACAGGTACCATTTCATTTTCATATGGCACGTCGCAACTTTTGCTCGACAGTGCTCGTTACAACTGTCAAATCTCAAGAATAAGGGACGTTGCAAGCAAAAGTATGTTTTTATTGTTAGTCCTCGTATCGCTGTCGTATGTCTTCTCTTATTCAATATTCATTCATCAGTAGCGTTATGTTTATTTTTAAAAATTTCAAGCTTTATTCTTTCTTTTCCTCAGGTTGAATTTTCCTCGTACTTAATTCAACCACATTGGTGTAATATAAGACTCGAGATTGATGATCAGAGAAAATCTGAATGTAGATAATCACAAATTGATATAACTCATGAACCTGTTCTCAGAACCCGGATTTTTCTTTCGTCTTTGTCTTATTATTCTCACAATACAATATAATTGGTATAATTTTATTCCATTCATTCCTCTTTACCTCAGATTTACTTCAGATTTGTTGAAATGAAATACGAAATCTCTTTTTATTTTATAAATAAAATTGTAAATTTTAATTAACTGCAGCTTGAAAACTTAATCGAATTAATAAACAGTTAACATATTCGCTATTTTATAAAGAATGAAATGAAAAAATATGCAGATTATTTTCAATATTTGATGTCGTTGGCTCTGAGAAAGGTTCGAAGAATGATAAATGCAATTGCCAAAAGATTTTCTTTTCTTACGCATACATTTAATATTTTTCTATTTTTCGAAACACACGCATGAGAATTGGAAATAATAAATAATCGTCATTATTAGACGCCAAATATTTGGAAAGTAGATAAATGAATGCTCACCTTTTAAAATGACGAATGACGATTATGTGGAAGTTTTATCCATCTCACGATGTGTGTAACATTTCAAGCACAGCAGTGTCTCGTTCTACTTCTTGGATCATCTGTTCGCGATTTCCAGTTTTTTTTTTTTTGATGTCGTATATAAAACAGAAGATATCCGTCTAATTAATCGAGGCGAACGGAAGCGCATATTAAATAGTAAACGCATACGAGAAGGCAGCCGGTTCTTCGTGAAGTAATGTCGGCTACTTCCGCAGCCGCGACAGGCTCTGATCAATACCCACGTCTTTCGTTCCTCGCTACGAGACGTGCACGTAGGAACATCCCGACGGTAGCCTCGGAAGGAAGTGAAAAAAGGAGAGAAAGGAGAGGCGGCGCGACGGAGAAGGGAAGAAAAGCCGAAGGATTCCGCGAGTCTGCGGTAATCGCACTTTGCCGAAGACTCTTGCTCCGTCTTTTTCCGCCTTCTTCCTTCCTCCCCGTCTTCTTCCTCCCATGAAAACCTATGCCAGATGCAGGAAGGGAGACGAAGGGGAATCACGTGGCCGGGACCGACACCGGCGGATATCGAGTGGGCGGACGAGACTAGAGGAGAAGAGAAAGAGAGAGAGAGAGAGGGGAGAGAAAGTGTGTATGTATACGTGTAGTGTGTTGGGTGTGTGTACGTGGTAAGTGACAAAGAGGGAGAGAGAGAATGCAGTGCGCGCGCACTTTGATGTGTGCGCTCTCCCGGCGAGACTAGACACGGTGCCCACGCGTATACTAGACGTTGAGAAAGAGCTCGGCGAGCATGCGTGCGATGGACGCGTATGTGCATACCGTGCACACACATGTGCAACATGCTGGCGTAGCGATTTAACCAGGATATACCTACCTAGAAGGAGACGCGCTTCCACTAGGTGGTAGTAATGGATAGTAGTAGTCGTGATGGTGGTGGTGATGGTGGTGGTGGTGGTGGTGGCTCGTCCTCTCTGCTGCCGACGATAGTATGACGGCAACGGTGGTCAGGAGGAATACGGGAGGGAGCTGTCGGTAGAGAGAATAGAGATCCTTGATCTCCTCCTAGGTATTCGATGGTAGGGAAGGAGGATGGAAGAGCGAGGAACGCTTTCGAATGAGAAAGTCGGAGAAGCGCAGCACACGGCGATACGAGTATAGGAGAAGGAGGAAGTTGAGAGGGACACGAGATAGAGAGGAAAAGAGAGAGATAGAGATAGAGAGAGAGAGAGAGAAAGGGTGTGTAGGCGGATTGGAGAGAGGAATTCCACAGAGAGGCGTGTCTTCCCCGGCGCACCAGGTGCAAAGGTGCGCGAACGCGACGTCGCCACGCCTTTTCCAACGGTACCAACAGTGGTCCATGACCGCACGACGCCGACTACGACGACGACGACGACGACGAAGACGACGAGGATGTCGGTGTATTAGCGTCTGTCCTGCTCGAACGTCTCACTATGTCTGGAACAACTCGCGTCTCCTCTTTCCTCTCCGCCAATTCCACTCCTCCTCCGCGTCTGTCTTACTCTCCATGCAACCCTCTACCTAGCGGGGGTACGTACTATGTTAACGGACGGGTCGCGTCCGACCTACCATCGCCACCATCCCCACGTTCAGAATCCAGCTTCTGGTGTCAACGTCCCGGAGTTTCCACAGGCTTCTCTCTCCTGAATATGCACCTTCTACGCGCGCTATAGGGCGCGGACGGGGATGGACCGGGTGGGACGCAACGGGATTCTTTCTATCTTTCCCGATGCTCGCGACTGGAATGCGGGATGACAGTATTCGCCATCACGTAGCGCGCCCGCCTCGGTGCACGGTAAACAGAAATGAGAGAGGTCGCAGACGTGATCGTGATTTTCTCTTCTGGAAAGGGAAGTGCAACCCGCCGGGTGGTGGTCCATTTGATGGGTGGTAGTCGATAAATTGTTTTTCGGAGAAAGGATTCGCAGCCTCGATAGAGGAGTGTCTCTGCTTCTCTTATGGGCTTTTGTATTACTCGCACTGTTATTTTCAACGTTTCCTTCGTGGATTCGATCAAATTTTATTTTATAATTCGTATATAAGAAGTAGCAACGTGTAACTTGCGCGATGGAAGGCAATGCAATCCGAGAATGGGATAGAGATATACATTTCCGAGTATCAGCTAATTTATGCACGCATAATTATGCACGAATAATTATGCACGAATAATTATGCACGCATAATTATAAAAGTGTCACAAATGAAATACAATCTTATAAATGCTTCAATTTTTTATAAGTTTACATTAATTTTATATTAATCAAATGATACGACAGAGAATTTAGTACTGTTATTACAGCTAGTGTTCTGTAAAATATCAAATTCATTTATTTCAATTTAGTTTATTTTGTCATGAGAAATGAGACACACAGGATTTATCATAAATTTTCAAAAAAAAAAAAAAAAAAAAAAAAAAAACCGCATTTGTTAAATATAATTTAGCTGGCTTTGTTACAAAAAGTTATTTTATGACATGTACAAAAATATTCAAATATTATCCAAAATCTATAGAGATATGTATTAATATATGCATTACGCATAAATTTCATCCATCTATATATATATATATATATAGTTTCTAAAATTCTGACAAAATTAAATAAACGACCAAATTTGCATTGAACTTATTAAAGTAGGGATAAAATGATAACCTGTACAAGTATTATGAATATTGAATAGTGTGCGTCTATGTGTATGAACATATGTTAATTAATCCATGCAATACGATAATAGGATGAAAATATAGAATTGAATAATTGAATCTTTTAAGAGCATTTGGCTCAAATATTAGATAAAAGGTGCTCAGACAAGATATTTCATTATAATTCGTATTAATAGGCATGCATGAAGAATGTAATGTATGTATGTTTGAAACTCGTATTTGGAACTGCATAAGATTTGAATAGCTTCAGCAGATTCTATTTAAGAAAATATGAGAACTATTACTTATATCTACTTACGAGGCCATATCTCTCTCTCTCTCTCTCTCTCTCTAAAATCTTTTCTGAATACATATACTTTTTTATTGTCATTGTTAATTAATCTAACCTCGAGATATTTTATTTGCTCTCTTTAAAGAAAAATTTTTTCAGCTAATTGATTAAAGGAAAAAGTGTACAAATAAAAAATTATATATCTTTACACGTTATATAGATTGTATTACTTGATGAAATTATTATCGTAATACAGTCTTATTTATAAAAAATGTTTGAATTTAATACTTTTGGGGCAATATTATTTTCACATATTTAATATATAAAATATTTTATAAGCATTGATTTTAAATACATAATGTGTATCAAAATTATATCAATTACCGTTATGAAGAGAGATATATAGCTGGTTATCATAGCTTAGTTTCACTGTCTAAAATTTTAACGTTGTCCCAATCAAAAGTGCGTTATGACAACAATAATTTCTCGCATACTAACGATAAAATCTATGGGATCGGCCAAATATCTCGATAGAGCGATCAATCCGTAAGAAATATACTGACGTTTTCTAATTTGACTTAACACGACTAATTCGGCGATAAAATTGCGACTTACAATCACTAATGTGGGTCGAAACGTTTGTACTGTATTATCTTATATAGAATAAATACTTGACAAATAATAAGATGCAATTTAATTCGACCAAAAACTGGCTATTTATTTATTGAAAATAAGTACACACTACGTTTCGACCCACATTGTGGTCCTTTTCAGCAATTACATTAATTAAAAATAGAAACATGAAAGTTGTCTTGTCATATCGACAATCTGTTAGCTACTGATAGTAGATAATTGCTGAACAAGAAAGTGCATCTTATTATTTGTTCAAATTTTATCACTGGCGATCAACAATTAATTGTGAAAATAAATCCTTAGTTTATATCACCCAATAATGCTCGATTAGTTGGCCTTTTTATATACTAAATTTAATTTTAATCAATAGACGAGCGAATACACGTTTTTAACAATTTTCTTAGTTTGAAACCGACGCGACGCGACGGCAAGTTTGACATTTCGGTTCTGTGCGATGCAACGTATGCGACATGTCGCATTTCCGTAATCATCCGTCCTTCGCCGCGGTTTATTGCGTTCCCTTCCCTTCCTCGAGCATCCCGCTCGCCGAAGCATCATCGCATCGGATCGGCGATTCTTCGGCGACTCCTCTCCGTGTTCTCTCTTCGCCGGCATCCCCAGGCGAACGCCACCCTCTTTCATCCTGCTGCTACCTTACCTTCCGCCCGCCTCCTTTCTCTCTCGCGATTCCATTTCTGCGTTGTTGAACTATAACTCTCTCTAGGAAGGCAGTGGCAGCTATTACGTCGGCTCCTAAGCTATTACGGCATCTGGGAGCCTCGTTGGTGCTGCTCCGCAGAAACGGGAACCAAAGAGGTGGGGAAGGCCGGAGAGGTGAAAGAGAAACGACAGAGAAAGAGAGAGAGAGAGAGAGAGGCGGGAGAGGGTTAGGTGAAGTGATGTATTGAGATCCCATTGTATCCACGGAATCCCCTAAGATTGCCAAACGACGCCCTCTCCTTCGACCACCCTCCCAACCGCTACCTTCCACCCGCTTGCATAATACGTCACTGTAGAAGGCGAATCTCCGACCTACCTCGACGCCAAGAAATGGAAGGAGGCGGATATTTCTCCTCGGCATTCTTTTTTTTTTTTCCTACGTTTTCCTCCTGCCGCTCTTCGTTCTCCAACGCTCCTCTTAGATTTCTTCGCGGATGCGTGCAGTATTTATGGTGGAAGAAGAGAATATGGTTGATATAGAGTTTAGGAAAACTTTTTTTTCCTCGAGTTTTTCCTTGCAACCACGCGAGGTGACAATAATTAATATTAAATTCGAGATATTAATTTTTTCGTTCGTAAAATCTATTTAGACGATTTCTCGGAATAAATGAAGTACAAGTGCATTAGCTTCTGTTCGTTTTCTATCGGGCTCGACAATTTTTCTTTTCTCCTTATATCTTCTTTCTTTCTCATATGATTAAAACTTTGCGGAATATTCATGTAGAAAGGAAAAACAATATTACTACTGTCAAAATCATCGGGCGAAGCGTCTCTCTTTCTTGCTCCGTTTTTTCTGTCTTTCTCTCGTTGCGAACCCCGGTTAGTCTCCCAGTCTATTCGATGCCTTTAATAATACGGCGCTACTGCGGCCGCAGCCGCGTGCAGTATTGAGAATGGCATAATATCGGGTCTTTCGCCCTCTGATATTGCCAAGGTTCGCGGCGGTGGATGAAAGGAAGGTGGGGGAGGAAGGGTTGGGGACGGAACCGAGAGATGAGACGTGAAGCGCGAGGCCGACAGATGCCGAGCGGGAGAAATTCAAATTTTTGCACGGATACCTGGCGGTTCAACAGCGGCGCCGTTCAATAACAACCTTTATTATTTTAACGACCTACGTCCACGGGTCTCCGTCACCTTTGTTCGGCTACCTCTCGTACGTAGCGAGACTGAGGAGAGTCGCCTTCGGTAGCGCGGGATCGCGTGTCTTCCCGATCGATGTGCTGACAGTCACCGGTTTCCCGCGGGATAATTACATATCCATGTTTTCTCGATCGAATCTCGGGTGAATTTTTTTTTGAGCTACGAGCGAGCTCTGCCG